CATAGGAATATGGTTATTACAGTCAAGTGATCAAGCAGATACCTTTTTCCCCCTCACTTGGTTTACCATAACAGGTGAGGCATTGCTTCAAGATGACATCATTCCATTATGTCAGAGAGCTGCCTAGTACAAAGTCCAGCATTGTCTGACACCACTCTTCCAGGTTTTCAGAAGGAGGTCTTTTTCCTGCCAGCTTGATGCCAGAGATTGAGCCCATTACATTATGCATGCAAAACATGCACATTCCCATTGATGTGGACCCTGATGCTGATCATTATCTTAAGCAGATAAAGATACAATGTTTCTTTGCCCTGCCCCATACCAGATCATTGCAGATGACATTGTTCAAGGAGCAGAGAAAGCAGAAAACTTTGAAAATGCTTCACACAATTAGTTGTGGACAGAAAATTCTGAAATTCTCTCTAGTGGAATCAGCATTGCCAGTTTGAAAATGTATTGATTTCTGCCATTGAGCAGAAAGGATGAATTAATCAGATGGGCCTGTGCAAAAGCATTCCATTATCGCAGATCTGGAAAGCGTTCAGATACTTTAGCAAGAGGGGTAATGAAGAGAACAGATCCATGTATTACCAGAAACACATTTGTGCCAATCTGTACCTTCATTAGAAGTGCAGCAATATATGTGACCATGTAAATGAGCAACATAATATTCATTTTACCTACCCTTCACATCCTGTAAAACGAATAGCTAAAATAAAAGTGCACCCAGTGCATCTTAAAATGCATTGTGTGTCCTCCACGACACAACTGTAATTAGGTGACTAATGTACACCCGATTGTGCAGACTTCTACCAGATTTTAATGTTGTCATTGTTATTCTAAAGAATTCTGTGCACTAGCAAAACAAGACACCTTTGTGAATTTACTGCTTTGCGGTGTTCTTACAACATCAGCTAATTCTGGCAATCAGGAGTAATAAAACTGCCTGTGATGGTTATGTAGCAGCTTGTGTGTTCGAGGTTTGAACAGAGTCATAAAGTATTGTTTTCCTTTTTAAATCTTACTAATGGTTATAGCAAATCATTTCGAAGAGGGAAAATTATCATTGTTTGCTTGCCTAAAATGAGTGGAATTCTTATGCAAGCTTTTGTTCATTTCTTCCATGAGATAAATGATCATTCAAAGTCTTGTAACATACCAGACTCAGAAAAGTGTACAGCAGCTTTACTCAGCTATGGGTTCATTCACATTTCTGTTTGGTCCATGACTTGTGGGCATGGGTCCAATAGGTTTTTCTCTTGTCCCACTGGTTTCACTGGGAAAACCTGCTGTTTATTGCTGAATCAGAGCAAATGTCAATCAAGCTTCCTGCAGACTGACGTTTGTTCCAATTCAGTGGGAAACGGGTTTTTCCTGGGGAAAGTGGTGGAACAAAAGAAAAACAGCTTGGACATGTGCCTAGAAGTCATGGACCAAATGGAAGAAATCCCGGACAAGAGAAATTGTGGGTGAGCCCATAGTGCCCTCCAGATGTTTTGGATTACAATGGACTTGGGGTTCATTATTTCAATGCCATAAGGCAGCCTTCTCCAACCTCGTGTCTTCCAGGTGTTTTGCATGGCAGCTCACATCAGCCACAGCTGCACTGCCTGAGGCTGATGGAGGTTCTAGTTCAAAACATCTGGATGACACCAGCTTGCAAAACATGAGATGATGTATCACGTGCTGCAAATTTCCCCCACTCCTGCTCCACATCTCCGGCTACTGCTTGTGGGGAAAATACATGCCACATTTTGTTTCTAATCATTACTAAGAAAGAAGAGATGTGAGACTGCTGCTGTTGTTGTTTTTTAAAAAATTAATAAAATGCAAAATTAAGCACAGAACAAAATCATTGCAGAAAACAAGTATGAAACATTGAAGCAGGGGCCATATATTCCAGATTGTTGAAATAAGAGAGATTAACAAGTTATAAAAATAAAATCACTATTGACATGGATATTCCTTATTTTCCAGAGGAATGAGCTGCATTTCCAGCAAACCTTCTTTTGTGAAGCTCTGCACGTATTCCTGCTTTATTGTATTATCCACAGACATTTATAGGCCAGGGGTGGGGAGCAGGAGATTGGTGATGTTCTGCATAATTAATGTAAACAATAAAGTCATACCAGACAGAAAGAAATTTGCCTTTACTTTTTTGACCTCTAGAGTTTCTCCGTTTATTTGTCAATTTTTCTAGCAGGGCTGATTCTCATGTCTTCGTGTACCATCAAGAAGTGTGTGTTCTGGTTAGGTCCCTCCAAAAAATCAGGCTATACGTGGCTCTGGCCACATTTAGCATACGGATAATCAACTCTTTACAGCATAATCCTTTATTATCTTCCTCAAAGATGTTTAGAAGAGCCAGTTGTTGCGTGGGTGTTATGGGTGTTAGTGTGGGTGTTAGGTTACAATTTGTAATTGTGTTAATCTCTTGAAACACAGAAAACCAGGACTTATTTACTATCATATATTTTTACACATATTTTCTGTAAAAGATGCATATAGAATATGTACTGTATTTTGCTGGTGAGTGCACTGCAAAGTGTGAATTTTACATAAATGTCTGTCCTTTATGTATAAAGTGTGCATAAATGCAACAGAAAGGCCTGGAATGGTATGAAACAGATCTGTTATTGAATGATACCCAAATAGGACAGAAGCGGCTCCTCAGTCCTTCCCTGTCTCAGAAAAAGGGGAGAAGAATTATGCCATCCTTTTTTCTTTCACACCAAATCATCACTTGAGGAGCATCCCATCTAAAGTAGTTTTCTTGCACTTGCCAGATGTTCCCAGTGATATAAAACTAGGTCAGCTCTCTGTTAATAATGTGTCTCTTCAGTGAAAGAATGTCATTATTACCTTTGTGTTTCTTGAGAATTTTAAAAACAAAGTTCCATCACTGCCTTCCCTGAAACATAAGGCCCAGTATACTGAAACATTTGAGTTCCTATCTTAGGGCGTCTCCAGACTGGTGATTTATTGTGGATGTATTCTGCAATGTGATACTGATGCAATAATGATCCAACATGCTAGTGATGGATTTATTCTGAACATTTACATATCAATTCATTGTTCTGTTATGCTTCCACAGGGTTGCTGCATCATTGCTGCCTAAAACGGCACTCTTATGCTATAATGCAATAGAAGTGATACAAAACAACAACAACAACAGCAACAGAACATTTGTAGTAGGAAAAGTTACAGGATTTTTTGCAGGAAGCTATGAGACGTGTCCCAACTGGAAACACAGCAGTAGATCCATTCTTAAACCTCAGCAGGTACAAAAAATAAAAGAAACTGGAATTGCATATAACCACCCTGATAGCATCATGAGCACAAATCATCATCAATAAAGAACAAAAAAATGATTTCTAGAAGGACCTTTAGGGCAATGACTCGTAAGGTTGGATAATTACTTCTTTGTATGTTCCCTGAGAAAAGGACCACAGGGCTCCTTTAGTGTACTAGTTAAATGATCTCCTTTAATATTTTTCTTCTTTTGTGCTGTTTCCCATGCAATTTCCCACAAAATTGTAACTTTGAAGAAGATAAAAAGGCAACATGATTCACAGCTGTGCATGAGAGTGTTCATGCAAGCATAAATGTATTGTTAATTTCCTGCAATCTATGGTACAGTGAAGGTTCTTTATTAAGCAAGAAAACTGCTTGAGTCCTGGCTTCCAAGGTATAATAAATCAGTCTTGGGTTTCAAGTTCATGATTCCTCTTAATAGCAAACTGAAGTGATTGAGTGCAATCAGTATGGGAGAAAAACAGAGTCACCAAAGGTAGTGGTTTTCACATACTCTGGGGACTCCTTAAATATACAAAAAATATATACTTGCATACTAAGAGGAAAATACATTTACTTTTCTTTTTATAAAAGCCTGACCTATGAGCTTCCAGTCCATACCACACCAATGCTCCAAACTGATCTCATGTTATGTAATTTCAACAATAATCAGCTGCCCTATCCTCTCTGGAAGCAAAGGGACACCTGCGTCAGAGATCAAATAGAATACTTTGCCCATGCCTCTTTCTAGCAGTGCTGGTTAAATAATGTGAATGACTCATATAGCTAAAGAAGTGTACAGAACTATGCAGATATGGTGAATATATCTGAGCTTGCTCTGGTCCCTCCACCGCTGCCTAAAAAGGTTTCTCTGAGCCTTTGAAAGGTGAATGTCACAGAGAAGTTTCTTGCATCATTGTGGAAAGAGAAACTACGTATATCTGCTTGGTTTCTTTGCATCACTGGTTGTTAAAGGCTGGCCTTTGAGGCATGGGGAGTTCTGGAGATGCTCCTGCAGATACGAGCTATCACACAATGCAATTTTGCAACAAAGCAAAATTTGTCTCCATGACAGCTTTCTGCCACACCAAATTTGCAGTGTTTAGATCATGAGGTCAATGTAGATTACATTTTACCCAGACTCTCCTGAATCTACTATTCTAACTCTCTGCACTGGAGTTAATTCTGTCCTCGTGGCAGGAGTGGAGAGACACAAGATGGGGTCTAAAAGCTGGCTTGATATAAGTCCCACTTTTAGGATCAGGTTGTTAATCTTTTTAGCCTATTCCGTAAGTGTTCAGTAAATCAGATTGCCCTTCACTTGACTTTTTCCAACAGAGACCCGTCCTTGCATTTATATAAGCAAAATTGTACAATAGTGCAAAATTCTGATGCAAAATAGCTTATCAGATTTGGAGATATAACAAAGTCAATTAGCAACAATTCTCCAGGATTTCAGACAGAAGTCTTTTCAAGCCATGCCTCGAGATTGAACCTGGGATCTTCTGCATGCAAAGCATGAGCTCTGCCCCCAAGCTATAGCCTTCCCTAAGCAAAGCATTAGGGTATAGAAAGAGCATTGTGGGAACACTGGAAGAGTAATAGCTGGGGTGTATTCCAAAATTAACACTCCCTGCCCAATAGAATCATAGAATTGGAAGGTGCACAATGATCATTTAGTCCAGTTCCCTGCAATGCAGGAATCTTTCACCCAACATGGGGCTTGAACCTACAAACCTGAGATTAAGAGTCTCATGCTCTACCAACTGAGCCATCCCTCAGGGGATAGCTTCAAGCATCTATCTAGGCTTCAAGCATCTATCTATGCAAGTTCTCCACATGCAGAAGTGACTTCCTGCAACACCAAGAAAAGAAGTCAATAAATCTAATACATGAACAGGATCTTAAGGCGTTTATTATTATTATTATTATTATTATTATTATTATTATTTTAAAAATCTCTAGGCCGATTTTTGCAACTATCCAAACATGATTTCATAGAGAAAGCACCTTGTGCCATAATTAATATCAACATAGAATAGTACTGTACTACAGAGAGATATTTTGGATCAAAGCCTAAGTATTTCATGAATATATGAAGGGAATCAGTGTGATGGAGGTGCTCAGCAAGGATATCATTTAATGCAGATGGTATCAATTAAATTAAAATCACAATGGGGGGATTCCTATGTTCTAATTTCTAATTAATTCTCTGCCCCACATAATAAATATTATGGGTACCCAGAACTATCAGATAAATTAAGGATGATTAGAAGGTATTTTTGAGATGAATAGCTCCATAGCTGTCAGAGCATAGTCTCCCTGAATAAAAGAGAACAATATATATTTGATCATAATAAAGCCCACAAATAGGTCAGGATTTCCCAAGATTTGAGTACATATGCCCCTCCCCCACTGAAGAAGTATGTTAGATCCTAATTTAATCTAAGGAGAATTTCTAACCAAGCTTCACTTTACGGTTGAGAGGGGGTAGGAAAACTTTATGTGATCATCAAAGTTAACCTCACCTTAGGGTGGAACAATACTATACTTCAGATTTGCAGTGGCTATAAAGTATTCTTTTTGAAATGGACTTGATTGGCACACTAGAGGATCCCTAGATAAGTCATAAAGCTTCACTGTTCTTCCATCTGCCTGGTTTTTCTGTTTATCCCGAAATGCAGTTTTATACCTGTCTTCCCAGATCTTAATAGGATGAAGGAGATGATGCCAGTAAAACCTTTGCATGGAGCTTTTCCCACCATGAAAGGAGTGTGGTAAGAAATATTTAGTGTTCTGACATAATTTTTGTCATTTCTCTGTGCTTATTTTTCCTGTTTATTAATGTTGCCCAGGGTGAATCTCTTGATTTTTTTAAGTTATGGGTGTTATTATCCTGGATCTTGCCCAGGTCACAAGCACATTGGCTTTTACTTGAGAGTAAGGAAGAGATCGATCTTCAGACAGAAAAGAGATATGAGCTCAGGAACAGGTCACAGCAGCCACTATACTCAGGCTAGATGATTAATGAAGCATAGGAACAGGTCATAAAAGCTTTTAAATATGGTCCAGCTGTTTGAGGCAGCTGACCCACTTTCAGCCCTCATGCAATGAAACAGACCACAATCTGAAGTAAGTTTAAAAATGATTTACTTACTTAATCCGATGTCACAATCATGCACTATCTTCATGCAACCATAAGAATATGCAGGTAAATGTTCTTGGGTAGAAATATATAGCAAAGGCAGCCTCAGAGAGATAAGGCAGAGAGATAAGTTGAGGCATGTCTGTCTCTGTTGCTTGAGTGTGAAAGGGCGGGGGGGGGGGGAGAGAGAACAGGAACAGAAAGCATCACCCGGCATACTGTAGCAGTCATAGAATCATAACATCAGCTGTTCCTAAAAGCTTGGGGAAACATAAAGTGAGAGCTGATTAAGTGAGAGCAGGTTAATCTTTTTGTCTGTTTGAATGGGCTGTTTCTGTACAGTATTTTAATTTGCTCCATTATTTCATATGGTTATATGGTTAATAATAATAATTATCCTTCTCTTCCCAGCAGAGGTACATCTGGCAAGATCATTTTTCAGCAAATGCACCTCTTTAACCTGGACTTTGACACCTGAGATGTATATGATTAGGATCCATAAGATTTTTGTGACTGCATTGTGCATAACTGTAGATTTTTAAACTGCTTTTAATGTTGCATTTTAAATTGTGGGACCATAGGGTGAAGGGCGGGCAATCAATAATAATAATAGGGGCTACAGTGCATGCATGAAGCTCTTTTCTGCTATTCAGAAGGGAATGGGAGGCTGGATTCTCAATGATCAGGGTAGACCCATGTATGCCATCTTGAGTTAAAGGTGAGCTATAAAGAAGAAGAAGAAGAAGAAGAAGAAGAAGAAGAAGAAGAAGAAGAAGAAGGAGTTGTTTGTGAATATCAGCAGAGATGGGCAAGAGTTGCCTGTCAATGAACACAATGGACAACAGTCTACTTAGTCATAATCACAGTAGACCTATTAAAATATATGAACTCAGAGTAGACCCATTTACCCCAACGTGATGATTGATTTCCATGTTGGTATGACTAACATTGACTATCACTGAATAAATCAGTAATAAGGAGGCTGATTATTTTCTGTGGTTCAAACATTTAGAGTCAAAACTGACTAGCCTCATAACCTTCATGGGTTTCAGCTATGAGAAACCTTGGTGTAGACTCTAATGTTTTATGGCCTCTTTGGAGGAAAAGAGAAACCACACAGTTTCTAATGGACTCTTCACAGTATACCTCTTGACCTGGAGGGGCAGACAGAAGAGTTAATTACTCCCTTTAAAATGTGCTAATAGCTTACACTTTTTATCTTGGAAGGCTGCCTGCATCTGAAGTGAGCTACATACCTTCACTTTTCAGCAATGCACTGAATCCACAATACTAACTTGTTTTGATGTCATTATTATTACTATTATATTGAGGAATTGCTAGGGATAAAAAAAGCTTGCTTTGATTTGTATGGTAACACATCACAGCATTTCCTGTCAAAACTTAAAGAGGATTTTCTTGTCTTCCATACACTGGCAAGAACTACAAAATGCACATCGGGCAGTTTCAGAAGCTATAAGCGCACCACTGTAGAAATATTCCTCACTCACGGTTTCCTAGCAGTGTTCTTTATGCTTTTGAGTGGTATGGTTATAATTGTTTTTGAATGGAATATAAGGTTTGCATCTAAGTAAATTGGAGACAGGGGTCACCACTGTGGCCCTCACAGGCACACATGTGCCTACAAAGTTCTCCCCCCCCTTTCTAAAACAGGCTTTAAAGAAGCTTCCAGTACATTTCAGAGCACAACTCAAAGTGTTGGTACTGACCTTTAAAGCCCTAAATGGCTTCAGCCCAGTATACCTGAAGGAGCGTTTCCACCCCCATCATCCAGCCCGGACACTGAGGTCCAGCGCTGAGGGAGTTCTGGTGGTTCCCTGACTGTGAGAAGTGAGGTTACAGGGAACCAGGCAGAGGGCCTTCTCAGTAGTGGCACCCCCCCCCCCCCCCGTGGAACGCCCTCCCACCAGATGTCAAGGAAATAAACAACTATCTGCCTTTTAGAAGACATCTGAAGGCAGCCCTGTTTAGGGAAGTTTATAATGTTTGATGTTTTATCGTGTTTTTAATATTTTGTTGGAAGCCGCCCAGAGTGGCTGGGGAAACCCAGTCAGATGGGCAGGGTATAAATAATAAATTTATTTATTTATTATTATTATTATTATTATTATTATTATTTTATTTTGCAAGCAACAGGATATGCTGAGGCGCATGCTATGCATATGTGGTGCCACAGCAGTTTCTTTCATTTGCAAATGTTCCGCCCAAAATTAGTCACCCCAAGTAAAGAAATTAATGGAAAGAAAGCTTCTTGTTCCCTTCTCCCTTGTGCAGCCTGTGCCCCCTTTGCACAAGGTGAGGAATTTGGTGAAAGTCTCTTCTGCCATTTCCACCACTGGGAGCACTCATGAAGGGGTGCTCTCTCTAATGGAAAGGAACTCAATATCCCAGCCTGTATGTTAGCTGCACAAAATATTGCTGCAAGACTGTACTTCTCTCACACAAATTTGCATTGTAAAGAGTGAGGCTGCTATAAACAACAGTTCAGACATCCCATATAGGCAGGGCTTTCAAAGAATGAATCATTCACCGTTCTACAAGTTACACAAACACGGCACATCCAAACCAGCTCTTGCAAGAGAATAATGAACACCTTTGTAGCATCTTTTCATCAGCAGTTTTTCAAGCCCATCACAAGCTTTATGTCATTAAATCTCCCAATATGTTTGCTGTGATACACCATTCATGCCATTATAAAGGTGGATGATATTAAAAAAAAGTTGAACTTATTTACATGAATGATGGAGATAATAATGAACCCCCCAAGAGACAACCTATCGTTTCTTTGTGGCACTGTCATGGTGCATAAATAGCAGATCTTGATTAAGATTCATGATTAAGTCTCCAGCAGTGTTGTAATCTTTGCAGTGCTGTCAAGAAAAAAGATTGACTTTGAAGAAGGTTTGATCAGAATTTGGTTCATCGGGACCCAAAGAAAATTCAGGAAAGACAAGCCATTCAAGGCTTCTTCATAGGGGAGCAGGGTTGTGGCAAATTCATCAAAATCAAGAGTAGGAATGGCAGTACCAAAATCTCTTCTCCAATTTCCTGGATGCTTTATTCCATTTTTCAGTCCATTATTTTTAGGGTGCTTGCAAGTTCCTCCTTTGAGAAGGGCAGAAGACCCTCAGAGATGTTACTGTGAAAGTTGCATGCACAACCACACAACAACATGGAGACAGTTCCTCTCCCGCCTCAGAACACCAAATTGGACAACATACTTTCCAAATGCAGGAACTTCACAAAGCTCTAATAGCAGCAGACAGGACATTCTTCATGCTTTCAGGTCTTGTTAAGAACTCAGCTCAGCAGAAACGTTCAACACAGTCAATCTGCATAGCTATCTCTTTGCCAATTGGAACAGTACATCTGGAAACAATTTAAGAAAAGGAAAGCGACCCATTAATCTTGGGCCTCAGGATTATTCTGCTGTAAGAAAAACACGGAAGCTAATCAGTTCTTGCTAGGAAAACATGTCTGCTTGGAATGGATAAAGCCAAGCCTGCTGTTCAATGAAATTCAAGCTCACAATTCTCTCCTTCTCGTTTTTCATTCTGCCATGATTTATTTTTTTTAAAAGAGCTACCGTATTTTTCGCCCTATAGGACGCACTTTTTCCCCTC